TAACTGGCTGGCAGTAAACCTTTCACATTGTGAAACAATCACTTTTCAATGACATAAAAAAAAAGAAAGGCTTCGGCGAGGCCGTAACGCGGAGAAGTGTGGCGTGTTTTGCAATTGTATTCCATTATGACTTATCAGTCAATTACATGACTAGAGGTATATGCGGATGGATGGCCCCACAGGTCGTCTGTGTATGGAGCCGTAGCGCATTATGCTATGAGTAATAATATAAAAACACCCACACACAGGGGAGAAGCAAAAGGAGAGCACATGACATGATTGCAGCAGGTTCATCGTACCTCTTCTTCATCCTCGCTGATCTTCAGCAAGATCGCTAGTCGATCCGCCTCTTTCGACGCTTCTTCAGCCAGCTCCTTCCTCATCCTCGCTCGCGTTGCTCTGATAGCCTCTCGCGACAGACGGCCCCCGATTGGCTCCAGCACCCCGTTGCGTAACCAACACATGCCTCCACCAGCCTTACCCACCAGCGGATAAGCCCTAATCGGACGTGGAGCTTGGTCATCACAACTCCCAGCATTGCCCTTGGCCGAGGAAGCCAGACGACGCTGAGCCTCCCGTCCGGTCGTCGCATCCCGTTCCCGGGCCGCCTTTTTCAGCGTCGACATTCCACCCGTTTCCTCGCATTCCAAATTTGCACTGCTGCCACCATCACCCAGCGACGACGATGAGTCTGACATCATCGCAGGTTGTGCATCGGTTACAGAGACCCGCCTCGCATCATCCTCGATCATCTTCTCCCGTGCTCGGCGTTCCCTCGCCAGGTCACCTTGATGGGATCCTGACGCCTGCTGGATATCCGCAGGTTCCGCAAGACGGTCCCGAGCGCGGCGTGATTCGTTTACGCGACCAGAACTCTGCTGACCGCTCACTGTAGTCCCGACATCCTCTGACGCATGGTTTGCCAATCGACAGCTGGCAGTTGCTGCTTTCCGAGAAGAAGACCTCTTCCCGTCTGGAAAGGGGTCTATTTTTTCCTTCACATCCGCAACACCCACGTTCGGCGATCCGAACCCACGTAGCAGCCTTGATGCAAGCTGCTCCTCAAGATTCCTTAAATCTCTGCCTCGTGAGCCCTGGCGCCGCATGCTGCTTTGTTCTGAACGCCCTTCATCTTCTTTCTGCTCGACCGACCTTGCCAGACGACCAACAGTCGCCTCCAGCTCAGCGATCCGGCCCTCCACCCTAGCGCCGCCATCTGGCACCTTGACCTTTCCGGATCGAATCTGAGCTAGTAGCTCCTGAAAAAAAAAAAAAAAAAACGAAAGGGAAAAAAAAGAAAGGAAGGACGGAAGATAATCGAGCAAGACACCAACATCAGCCACACGTTTGGGAATCGATAAACAGAAACGTCTGCAGTGGATCGAGGTCCTATATATTGCCACATATCAAGGAACTAAACGAGCGCACTTATGCAAAACAAAGTTTAACAAATGGTGAAAAAAAAAAAAAAAAAAAAAAAAAAAAAAAAAAAAAAAAAAAAGACCAGCATGAGGATGAGGGGCACACTGAAGCATTTATTTTTTTTCTGTGTTAAACCTGTCTCTTATACACATCTAGATGTGTATAAGAGACAGCCACCGCCACAACGAAACAATCATGTTATCACCAGTGTTTTTTTTATTTTTTTTCTGTGTTAAACTCCGGGCCGCCCGGCGGCCCAGCCTCCGTCCGGCAGGGGTCCCGGGCGGCCCGGCTGGTTGGGTCCCCTGGTTTGACGCCGGGCGGGCCCAGTGCATTTTTGCTCGAGGGGGTGGGGAGGCCTTTTTTGATGTTTTTTTCGCGCTTGGGAGCCTCCCCGGCCCCCCGCGCAAATTATTCTGCAGAGCGGCCTTCGAATTCGAACGTGGAGTTCGTGCTGCCCGTCGAAGTGGTCTTGTCGCTGCCCGCCGAAGAGTTTCCCGTCGCTGCCTGCCTTTGCCGAGGTGCCCGTCGTCGATGCCCGTCGTCACTGCCCGCCGCCGCTGCCCGTCGTCGCTGCCCGCCGTCGTCGATACCATACCGTTGTGCTAAGTGCCACGTGTCAAGGCTCTCTCTCTCTCTCTCTCTCTCTCTCTCTCTCTCTCTCTCTCTCTCTCTCTCTCTCTCTCTCTCTCTCTCTCTCTC